CTGCCCAGGAAGCTGCCCCTAGTGGGCCCCCCGGATGCTCTCCCGCCCCTCCCTCTAACTCCCCGTCCACGCAAACAAGGCCCAGCCCCCTCGATCTGCAATTTGCCTGGACGTGGGCAGGGCCCCCTCTACGTCAGGTTAATAATGCCACTTTTATAAGCCTCTGCCAATAGGTGCTACCACCTAATTCGGAATCTGCCCTTCAAGCGGATTCGGCCACAGAGGAGCTGAGATCTCAAGCACCCACTGCTGGGAGGTGCTTATAACTACTCTCTCCGTCCCTTGCCCACCCACACCCCCCAGCACTCAGCACAGCCTCGCTGAGTTCTCTCCAGCAGCAGGGAGTTGTGGGGAGTCTCGGACAGACTGGGGCTCCAGCCTAGCTGGCCCTCACACCAGCTGAGAGTCGGTGAGTATCGGACTTCATCTTTTCCTGCCTCAGTTTCTCCATCAAGCCAGTGGGGATTTTTGAGGCTGGTGCTCAAGAGATCCTGCTGGGGCTGAGTTCTAGGCAGACAGCCCGGCTCGGGCTTGTCTCCTAAAAGACAGGGCTCCATGATGTCAGTTGCATCACTTGATTTACAGTGACTGACTCCCTTCTCTTTCCCCCACCAGACTGAGCTTGGAGAACAAGAAGCCAGCCGATTGGCACTGCTGTGTCCAGCCTTTCCAGCCAAGTCTGGGCCCGGGAAGGTAGGTGCCCTGCAGTGGTTTGGAGAATTGAGTGCCCGGAAGGATGGCTGCACCCCACAAACTGTGGGGTGCTTGGACTCCACTGGGTTTCTCTTCCCAGACACCCTGCCTTGTCTAAGCTGGTCCCGCTAGGGAGCAGCCAAGAAAAATGTTCCTTCTGCCTTACCCCAGGGGTCCCCTCGTGCTGTTTGTAAACAGCGCCAATGCTTGCCATATTAAAGGCAGATGTGGGCTTGCCCATCTTTTTTGAGGCCTACTCTAAGCATCTACTGTGAGCTCACAGGCCTACAGGCCTCCTCTGGCTGAGTTAATTTGTGCTGGTGGAGGCCACAGAGGGGTCTCTGCCCCGTGAGGTCCCTGTCTGTATTCCGAGCGGGGCCTCCGAAGGCCAGGCGGTATTCTTTGCTGCGACACTTGTTACATGCATGCGTGCGTCGCTCCCTGAGTCCCATGGTCTACCCTACCAGCCCTGATGAGCTGTCTAGTGAGTGCTGGGCTGCACTTATCTCATTTAGCCTCCCTCTGAGCCGGTGCGGAAGCGCCCTCTCATCTCCATTTCACAGAGGAAAACCCGAGGCTCTGAAAAGTAAGAGGAATCGCGTGGTCTCCCAGTTAGAGAGCCGGGAAGTGCAGACAGGGAGCCCCCAGCCCCGCTGCGGGCGCCTGCCGCCGCCGTCGCCGCCGCTGTGGGCTGACCAGGGCCGGCCCGGCTGCCGGCGGCTCCTGCGGAAAAGGCAGGGGGTTTGCATAGAGAGCGTTCTCCCTAGCAACTAGCAGAGGGGCCATAAAAAACCGAGAGGGCTCGGAAGCCGCTTAACAGATAGCTCCCGAGCAGCTGGACCCGGGAGGGGAGACCCGCGCCCTCCCCTGGGCTCTTTGCAGAACAGCAGGGCAAAGGGCTCCGTCCCGGATGCGGGCGGGCGGGCCGGGGCAGACGCGCCCCGGGACAGGTGTCGACGGCCGAGATCGGACGGGGCTGGGGAACCCCTAGCCTGACCACACCGTAGACGGGGGGCTCGCTCTGGAGAGCTCCAGGAAGGAGCTTGCCGCCCGCAAAGAGCCGAGGGCAGAGGGGGCGAGGGGGCTGCGTCGGAGCCGCGGAGGCAGATGCAGAAAGCGGGGAGGGCTCGGCGAAGCAGCTCGGTGTGCGAGCCCCGAGCGGGCTGCTCGGGGAGAGAGGGAGCTCCCTGTTACGGGAGGCATCCGAGCAGAGAGAGGCAGGCCGGTACTTGGCCGGGAGGCTGCCGCACGGCTCCCTGCCCAGGCTGGCAACCCGCGCACGTCTAGGCCTTCGAGAAGCTCCTGCAGCGCTAAGTCCCAAGCGGGACTGGCCGCGGCGGAGGCGGGCTGGGGTCACAGCAAGGATGCTGACGCGTTCCCAGGTCCCTAACCCTGAGCTCCATGGCAGAGGCGCCGAGATGGCCGGTGGAGCGCTTCTGTCTCGGTGAGGCAGTAAGGGAGAGGAGCGGAGAATGGGGGTGAGTGCGGGACCGGCGCGGGGGAGGGGGAAGGGTGGGGGGCTGTCCTGCAGACAAACCCCCATCTCAAGGGCCGGGCCACCTGGAGTGGTCAAGGTCTCGCCTCGGCTCCCAGGCCCAGAGACGCTGGCCTGGGTCCTCTCTGGGCAACAGGCTGGCACAGAGGGTGGGGGAAGCCTTTCTGGGGTCGGGGGGTGACAGATGCCGTGCGGGAAGTGGAGGGGGTGTTGTCTGCTGAGTTGAGGGGCTGGCCCGGTCATGGGAAAAGCAGAACCCTTTTCTGATGACTGGGCCGCAGCCCCGGATTCGGCCGGCTGCTGGACCGTGACTTGGATGCGCTGGGGACCCGTGAAAGCCCCCTCGCCTGGCGACGGGGGCGAGGGGCCTGCATGTTGATGAGTGTGGTCCGGGCTGTGTGTTAGGCACTGGCCCTTTAGGCCCATTCATGGGGGCTCGGTTCCCAGGAACTCTGGGTGGACGGGGCCTTTATCAGGGGACCCCGCTAGACGAGGCTCTGTTCTGCAGTTTCTAAAGGAGTTTTCTTGTCTTTGTTCCCAGTGCAGGCACTGAGTGTGTGTGAGTGTGCGTGAGTGTGTGTGTGTCTGTGTGTGTCTGGGTCAGGCTGGCTGAGGGACCAGCCTGGGTCCTTGTCTGAGATGACCAGGCTGCCCTCACTCTGTGCTGCGGGTGGGGATGCACCACTCACGGGCAGGCAGAAAGATCGGGGAGGGCCAAGGCACCCAGGGACCCCAGGACGAGCGCCTTGTCAGCAATGCCTCTCTGTCCCCCTCCTGACAGCCCAATCTGTCGGGCGGGCGCTGTCTGTCGGCCTCGGGGTCCCGACAGCTGCTAGGACCCGCCGTGGGGGGGCAGCAGCGTGTTGCAGGTGGAGTGCGGGCTGGCTCCGCAGACAGACAGACAAACTGCCCCGCCACACCGCTCAGGCGCTGGGAGCAGCCTTGGGGAGGAACTGTTTGCTTTCTCAGAGCCTCAGGGGAAGTGGGGATGTTGTTTTCATCAATTAAAAGATGGCTCTGAAACTGTCAATGCAAAAATGTTTGGTTAAGTATTTACAAGTGCGTCACAGCCTCTGCGGCATCACAAGGATGTGCGGAGGGGCGGGGGAAGTGGGGATGCGGCAAAAGAAATCACGCACTTAGAAAATTTTGCAAAGAAAGGCTTCTGATCAGGGAGAGCCCCCAAAGAATTCTTTGAATAGCTTTGGTATGGATGTGAAAAGTCACCTCCCCAAATCTCTAACGGGGCAGAGGCCGCAGGGCAGCCCACCTCTGGGCCCCCGGTGGGTCAGCTTGACTGTGGAGGAGAGGGGGCCTCCCACTTACAGTTCATCTTGCCCCACACACAGTCACAGCCCGGCACCCTCACCCGGACACAAGGATGTTAGGGATGCAAGGGGCTGCACGCTAGAGGCAGCACGGACAGCTCCACTAACAGCTCAGAGAAACGGCGCAAGACAGGGGTCAGCCCAAGCCCAGGCTGCGGAGTGAATACACCAAAAATTTAGGAGAGAGGGGTCTTTGTGCTCAGTGGCCAAGGAAGTTCACTTTTGTGTCAAAGGCCAGCCCTGCTTCCAACTAGGTGAGGCTGCACCAACGCACAGAAACCTCATTTAGGCTGGGCCCGGCCCAGGGAGCCGTTTCTGTGAAATTTAGGAGAAGTCAGGTTTAGCCAGAAGTTTTTCCAGGAATTATTACCCTCTGGAGACTGTAACCACTGCTCCTTGCGAACCGCTCTTGCCAAAGTCTATAAAATACAAGTCTAAAAAATCTGCCTGAAGAGCAGGCCGACGTTTTATATATATTTATAAAAAAAAGAATAAACGGTGTCCAAACTTTTTAGGAGAAGTCAATTAAGGCCTGTGGGGGCAGCCCCTTTCTGCCCCCCGCAGGGTTTGAGGACAGGCCCCGAATCTCCCTCGGGGATGTCTGTGCTGCGGCGAGGGGAGCGGGGCTGCTCCCCGCCCGGCACTTGCCCTCTTGCCCCTCTGGGTCTCCCTGCCCTGAAGAGGGGCCGCCTGTGCCTCTGGGACAGGATACGGAAAGGCCGCTGGTTTCTGCTGCAAACAGCGTGGCGGCTACTGCAGGGGGTGATTTAGTCGTGTGACGGTCCCGCTGGAACCCTCGGCACGCCAGGGGTGGATTAGCATTCCTCCTGGGACTTCAGGAAACTGAGGCCCAGGAATCCTTGGAGACTTGCCAAAGACACACAGCTCAGTGTGTGGCCCCGGAGCCACATGTGTGCTCAAGATGGCTGCCCTGTTGGGGGGCTACCTCCCACCCCCACCCCAGGGAAAGAGAGGGGACCAAAGCACCTGGAACACCCTGGTGCTTCTGCTCCTCCCGACAAGCAGGTGAAGGCCTCTGCCCCCACTGCAGGGTGAAGCAGGCATGGCATCACGGCCCCTCTACACCTGGAAGCCAGTACTCTTTCTAGAACATGATGTATGCCAAGACCACTCTCAGCCCGGTCCTCTCCCCAGCGCGTCTCCATCAGCCCAGCTGTCACCCTCTCCCCCAGCTGTGATTCCTCCATCTCCTGTTCCAGAACCCCTGTTTCTCTCTGGCAAGGAGCGGGTCACAAAAAGCACAAGGAAGCGTTTCCAGGGTATAATTATGCCCCCAAAACTCATCACTGCCACTCCCACCCTCAGATGTACAGCACTCGACCCCTGCACCCCAGGACTCAGGGTTCCAAGGGCGTCGGGGAGCCTGGCATGTGCACCCAGAAGGGTGGGACGGAGCAGTTTGCGGGATGCCAGCCCACCCCCCGGGTGTGCGTCTACAGTAGGACGGCATTCTGAGGACTCACCCAGCGCCGTGGAGCACTCAGGCAGTCCTCTAAAGCTGCCCCTTGGCCCAGGGGAACAGGAGGCGGTTTTCAGCTAGGGGAGGCTGGATCTAGGCAACACGGGAGCCGAGGTCACTGCAAAGGGACAAGGAAAAAGAGGGTAATTAACATGTGGCCAGTTTCACAAATTCTAGAAAAATGCAAACTGTTCTTCTGGATGAGGCAAACATGTCAATGACGCATCAAATTCCACAGACTACACTTTGCTGAAATTTTAAATGAGGTGTCGGGGTGGGGAGGGGGAGATGTGCCTCTAAATTTGGGTTCACCCAGGAAATATTTCAAGCCTGGTCTTAAGGGCCAAGGTGAAGCTGGCTGGAGCCCCAAAAGGTAAAAGGAAGGGCACACACAGAGAGAATAAGGTAGCTGGTGGAGGCTGTCATGTGCTTAGCACACGTATGTGCATGCATACATACATGTGTGTGTGTGTTCACGCGCACACATGGGGAAGCGGCACAGGCTGGGGAGCCTCCAGCCAGACCCTGAAGGGTCTTAACGTGCCAGGCTAAGGTTCTTGGACCACATCCCAGAAGCTCCGGGAAGTCAGATGGAGGATTTAAAGCAAGACAGTGACAAGGTCAAAATGGCATTTTAGAAAGATCACTCAGTGAAAATAAACTTCGCTGCAAACCATTTCATCTAGCTATCCCACCTCTAAGAAGCCAGGGTAAAAGCACAGTTGGGGATGTGTTTACATATTCAGCTACAAGAATGCTCATTGCAGGGTCGTTAGCAATAACACACATTAAAAAACAAAAGCGGGACAGCTTAGATCTTTTTTAGCTGGCGTGAGTTCAGCAGAATCCTATTAATTAAAACCTCGGTTCATGACACGCTCTCCTCATTTATCTATGCCAGGACCACTTTTATTTTATGTCTCTTTCTTATTTATTTTCTTAAATAATATAACGAGCACAACATGAACCAGTGACCCGCCCGACGGCTAGGACTTTGACCAAAACGTCTATATGCACACATTCGCCTTCCCCGGCAGACTTACAGCTGGGGTTTTCAACAATAGAGAAGGCTCTAATAAACAATGGTGCAAACACACCCCAGAATATTAAACAGCTCTTAAAAAGAATGAAACAGCCGAGACCTATTGTCTTTTAATGGACCTTAGTATTTTGTGCAGAACTGGATTAATCACGATCCTTTGTTCATAAACATTTTCTCATCATAGATCCAGGCATGTCCTGCTTTTCTTTTTCTAATATATGCATTCATATATTCATTTGTAATAATGACATAAACACTCGTGAGCCCACTCCTCAAATCCAGACCTTAGCAATTACTTAACACCTGCTTCCACAAGCCAGCATCACCACCACCCCCCCTCATGGGTAAGAACCCCGGGGCTTTCGTGACAGCAGCGAGACGGTTAACCCAACTCTAGTATGTACAGATTACAGGCTACTAAGGTGTTGTAATAAGGAATGGTGTTTTTTTATGATCTCCAAGCAGGATCTTGAGTGAACAGAAATAAGCTGTGCAAAAAGAAATGTACATTGTGATACAGCTTACATAGAAAATAAACAAAATCATATACGGGAGGAGCTCTATTTAGATATATATGCAAATGCACACACAAAAAAATCTGGACCCTGACTCTGAAAGCAGCACTTAAAATGGTGGCGGTTGGTGGGGAGGTGGGAAGCTGGTGAGGAGAGAAGAGTTGACGATGGTTGTAGCTTTTATCCGCAGTGTTTGATTTTCAGTAATAGGTATATTAATTATCAATGCATTTCTTGCATAATTAAAACAAACATTTTGTGTGTGGGTTTTTTTGTTTTGACTTGTTTGTGGGGGTTTTGTTAGCTTTTAGTCTCTTTTTTATTTTAAATACAAAAGAAAGCACATTTTGGCTGATGGATGGGGAGTGGGTAGATTCCCCCACACACACATCAGTTCCGCAGACACGAAGGATTTATTCTGCCCCTCAGATCACTCTTTTTTTGAAATTTTCTATGTTCTAAAGCAGGAGTGCCCCAGGTCTCTGAGTGGTGGGCAAATGATATAAGGAAGGCAGGAGTGTGCCCACCGGCTGGGACTGCACCCCCCATGGGCCCCAAATCCCTTCCGACCCACAGGGCATGTGTTTGCAAGGCACCTATTGGGAAAGAAGTCGCTTTTCAGTTTTAACAGGCCCGAGAGCTAATGCCCTGGCCCGTGTTTTCGAAGATTAGCAAAGTGGAAATGAGGACTCAGGAGAATGTGAGACGAGACAGTCCCGAGCGAAGGGGACACAGGAGCCCCTAGGGAGCAGCCCACATGCTCCGGCAGCCCCGCCGCTTGCTGGTGGAGACCCGGGGGCTCGCTGTGTCCTCTGACAGCTCGATTCCCAGGCAGAACCCACAGCTGTTACGCTGCCCCTCCCCAATTCTAACCAACAGGGAGTGTGGCTAATAAGTCAGCTCCCTGAAAATGGGGTGCAGGTCCTTGCCTCCCGCTCCCCACGTGTCCAAGGTGGCGCACCACACCCTGACTCCTCATCAGAACTCCCTCTCTCCCCCAGACACTCCAACCTCTGCCTGCATACTAAGCTTCAGACCCAGCCCCAAAGAGCCCCTCCAGCTGTCGCAGGCATGGGGCTAACTGTGCAGCTAAGAAGACCCTTTATCTTTATGCAAATAAAGATATCAAGGCTCAGAGATCCCAAGAACACAAAACCAGGCCAACCTGAAACCCAAATCAATCTGAAGTTGGGTTTTTTCTTGGCCTCCGTCTGCACAGATGAGCTGATCATTTAGCTGCTTAAGGTTTCCCCTCCCTAAGCTGACACAAGCGGGACCTTCTAGAATTCTCTCCCCTCTGCCAGGCAGACGCTTATTTTCAACCATGACTCTGCACATAAGAAATGTGAGCCCAGGTTAGCCAGCTCTCCACCAACACAACCAGCTCTTCATCACCTTTTCCGCACACGAGCCCCTGCTATTTATTACATGGCACTTTATTTTGGATGGCGTTTGATCCTGGCAAATACTTTGAGATGTCTGTCATAGTTTTGCAGATACAAAAGATGCTTATGATAAATAAAAGTAAAATACAGTTTCCAAGTTACCTGCGCCTGCCTCCAGGCCAGGGTAATTCCACATGAAGATGCTCATTCCTCCAGAAGGCTACATAAATCCTGCCAGGCCAATAAAAGTTACAGGGTTGACTCACGGAAAGAGCCTCTGGACCCAAGGCTGACCTGTTTATCCCTCCAGGTGTACCTCTGGATTCTACAAAAATGAGAAGGGCTTTGAAAGGGACAGTTAGGGGACAGATCCACTGAAATGAGAACCAATTTTACATCAGTTGAGCACCTACTATGCACCAGGCATTCTCTTATTGTCTTTCATTAAAAGCATCAAGGTGATACTTAAAGATGGCTGTCCCCATCCTACAGGACCCAGCGAAGGGAATTATAATCACTTGACCAAGGCCACCAGCCTCCACCCACGGGAGCCTGCCCCTGCTGCCCCCAGAGCAGACCCCCATCAAAGATGCCCCCTCATCCCCCGTCGTAATCATAGTGAGAGATTTTAACACCTCCCTGGGGGGGGGGATATGTCAAGAGGGACAGTCAAGGGGAACAGCATTGTGCTGGATTTTTAAAATAAACTACCACCTTAAGGTTGTGTGACCTCGACTGCTACCCCCAGCCTTTGAGGGCCTTCCCCCCGAAAGAGGCTGTATGACAGATCAGGGCGCACGTACCTGGGGGGAGAGAGGTCTTTGAGGTCAGCCCAGAAGGGCCTCACACTCCCCTGGGTGGGCCTGCCATCCTGGGGGGGCCAGGGCTGGGCCTCTCCTTGGCCTTGGGAACCCACTGACTCACTGCCCGCTGGGGGCAGCAAGCCACGGCTGCAGAACAAAGAGCTCAGGTTAGATCCGCCCTGAGGACCCTACGAGTTTACCTATTGTTCGCATGTACCAATCGCGATAAAAAGCAATCATTGTTCAGACCTTTTGATTCGATCCTGGGCCAGGCATCTACTCCCTTCCTGGAGAAAGCCGCCGTCCTGCCTGCCAGCCTCCTGGGAAGGGAGAAGAGACAATACACACCAGGTTCCCAAGCCGAGGGGCAGCCCACCTTTCAGATCCCCCGCCCCCGGGTCTCCCCCCACCCCTGCTGCTGACAGCCCTACTGTGTGCCTGGGGGCGGGGGCAGAAAGAGCAGCGAGTGCAGACTGCTCTCAGGGACAGGAATAAAACCCTGCAGGGTCCAGTCGAGGGGCTTCCGAGCTCAGGAGTCACAGAGCAAGGGCAGGGCCACAGGGCCTCCGGTGCGGGCAGGGCCGACGGGATGTCAGCCTGTGTCAGACCCCGAGAGAGAAGGGAGGACGGCCCACGGGGTCTGAGGTTTGTCCCGGGCCTCAGGCTCCTCTTCTGCAAAACGGGGATGAGAAAAAAGTCACACCTTCAAAGGGTGTTACGAGGGTTAAGAGAATGAAAACAGCGCCTGGCACATAGTAAGGACTCAAGTGATGGAGGGAGCCAGAGGCAGCACTGGGGAGACTGTATCACGTGACGTGACGTGGGCCCCTGAGAAAGGCAGGACAAAGCCGGGAGCGGACTGAGGTCGCTACTGTGCAAAGTGCATGCACCACCCCAACCTGGCCTTTCATACTTAAAGAAACCCATTTATCCAATAACCTTCTAGAAAGAAGCGGAGCTCCAGCTGACGGGACAGAAGCAGAGCTACTGACCACCTGCGTCAAAGGTAAGACTCAGGGTGAGGGGGTCCCATGCTGACCTCCCGCCCCCCGGGGGGGTGGTGCTGGTGGGTGGGGGGTGGGGCTGGGCCAGCGCTCAGAAACAAAGGTTAAAGGATTCATTTGTCTGCAAGAAAAAAGCCATGACATGGAGGACTCAATGGCTCTATACAAACACGCGAGTGGCTATAATTAGCAGGCCCTGGGCCAGCTGTCCTGTCCCTCTGCCCATACCCAAATTAGCCAAATTGATTGGAAATAACCACGTGAGGTCTTCTGGAAGACCAAGGGCAGACCCTGAGGTCCTCATTCCTTCAGTCTCGCCTCCCATCGAACCATGAAATGAAAGTGGCTCCTCCGGTCCTCAGGGACTCTGAATGGCCACTGCCCACTGCCCCTGGGGCGTCAGCTCCCGCCATCCCCCCATCCACCAGTGGAGGGAAGAAAGCCTAAGGCCGGCTTCGATCACTGCCTCTGCCTCTTCCTTCCTAAACTGGGCTCTGTGAATCCCAGTTAAAGCTGTGAGGCAGGGAACACGCCCCACCCCGTAAGGAACAAAGTCAGTGTTAGGGGCCTGGTGCCCTGGGTCGGGCCTGCCACAGAGCAGACACTTGGGAAACATCCATTTTAATAAATGAATGCTAATTACCCCGGTCTGGAAGACACGTGCCTTCTGCATTTAGACACCCCATCCCTCACTAGCTCCAGACACAACCTGCTCAGTGCTGGGGCTGTTCAATGGACCTGATCCCAGGGGCCCTCGCCACTGCTAATTACAGCTCCCGGGCAGGTCGTGTGACCCTCTGGACTCTGGCTCCCTCACTTACAAGGGAGGGCGTCGTCATCTCGTGGGGTTAATGGGAAAATTAAAGTTGATGCCATGCATGAAAACACTGTCTGAATCCATCTGACCATTACAATTATAGTAGGTGTGATAAAAGTGATAATCATAAGAGTCTTAATGATAATAACAAGCCCAGACTTGTTTGGAGCATTTCACAGTGCACAGAGGGCTGGCTGCACCCAACTCCTGGGAAGGCGGGGCCCTCTGTTAAGTAAATGTAGAGACTGAGGCCAGTCTGGGCCGAGTTGCCCAGTACCAAGGCCCCATCCTCCTGCTCCAAGAACCCCAGGCTCCTGGGCCTGCAGCCACAGCACCCCAAGAACAGAGGGAACCCACCAGAGGCTCAAAAAAGCCCACGGAAGCCCCTCTCAGCCCGACTCTAACACCTGGACCAGCACTAGAAGAAGCCCCCCAGTCTGTGCTCCCAAGAACCCCCAATTTCTAAGAGCAATTGGTGGAACTGAGCTCCACCTACCCTGACAAGGGACTTCCCAGGTGGCACTAGTGGTAAAGAACCTGCCTGCTGATGCAGGAGACGTAAGGGATACGAGTTCGATCCCTGAGTTGGGAAGATCCCCTGGAGGAGGGCATGGCAACCCACTCGACTATTCTTGCCTGGAGAATCCCCATGAACAGAGGAGCCTGGTGGGCTACGGTCCATAGGGTCACAAAGAGTTGGATACGACTGAAGCGACTTAGCATGCAGACACATACTCAGACAACTCCTCCCCACATCCCTGCTCCCCAGGGTCACCCCTCAGACCCCTCTCAGGACCCTTGAACTATAGGAGCCACATGAGAAGACCCCTCCCCAAGCATCCCTGCAGCTCTGGGGAAACTGAGGGTCAGGAGAAGGGCACACTGAAAGTCAGCGAGGGCCTGGGGCTGGCAGCTGGTCCGGGCGCCCTCCCCTGCCCGCTTGCCTTGAAAGGCAAGAGCAGTCCCGGGGAACAGCTGGTTGGCCCTGCCGATCAGGGCAGCCCAAAGAAGGAGGCCGCTGGCCGCCTGACCCCTCTCCCAGCCCCGCCCTCAGGCGGCACTCTCCCCGTCCCCTCTGGTTATTCTGGGTAGAGTGAGCCAGCTGCCCCCTGGAGCCGCCTGTCAAGCGGAGGGCGGGCAGGCACTCAGTGGAGGGAACACAGCTGGGTCAGGGGCACTGCCCGTCCCCTGGATAGCTGGAGGGGGAAGCGAGGGCCTGTGCAGACCCTCTCCAGGAGGACCCCTGCCCCGCCCGGGCTGGAGGTGGAGCAGGAGCCCAGGGGACAGTGCTCACTGTCTTCTTGAATCACAGCGCCCGCTTTCTAGACAGTAGTGTCCCCAGTGATGTCCAAGGCCCAATGGGGCCTGACAGCCTAGCCCCTCTGCCCCTAGTCCCCCCTGCCCCAGGGGAAGGAAAAGGAGGATGGAGACTCGCTGTTTGGGGTCAGTGAGAGGAGTCTCCCATCTGAGAAGGACCAAGGGGGTCTTTGGCACACGTCAGGGGGTTGAGTGCCCAGGAGCGGGGGACCCCTGACTTGAATTCTGCTCAGCCAGCAGTTCCTGAAGGTCCCAGGGACCCAGCGCCCAAGCCCAGCTCTTCACAGGACCCTCCGGGAATCCCCCTCAGAACTCCCAGCACCCTCCTCCTCTGCTCCTGACCAGCCAGCTGAATGCAGAGGGGGACCATGCCCCTGGTCTGTACCAGAGGAACCAAGAAGGCCCCCCAGCCTCGTCTGCGCACGCTGACCTTGGCACTAATCTAACAGAATAACGAACAACAGCCTGTGGCCGTCCCAGCGCCCCTGTATGCCCACCCACATCTGGATGCTCCCCTCCGTCCATGCCAGCAGCCAGGACCAGGGCAGCGGAAGGGGCACGTGAGGACACTCAGACCACTGAGGCCCCCTGACCCCACAGTTGTGTCCATTGAGTCCACATGGTTCTGAGCACCGCCTGGAGGCCGGGCGGGGCAGGCCGGGGTCTTCACCTGACTTCAGGTGCCCTGAGAGCTGGGGGGGCGGGGGGGAGCGGGGCATTGCTCCAATTGTGGCAGCCAGCACCTGGGAGGCCGGCAACATGTCCTCACCTTAACTCCTCCACGCCCACCCCCTGCCCCAGGCTCAAACCCTGCCCCTAAACACCCTCTCATCTCCTCTTCCAAGCTCTATTTTTAAAATCAGATTTCCTTTACTGCACAAGTGAGCTGAAGGGGGGGGGGGGAGGTATTCGCTGAGGGATTGGCCCCCCGCCTCTCCTCCACACCCAACCCTTCATAGACACACGTTGGCAGCCCTGACCCAATGGGCCACTTGCTCAGAGGCGAGCAAGGAGCTGACCTGACCGAGAAGGCTCCGGGCACCGAAGGTGGTGAGGCTGGATTGTCTGTCTATGAGTGTCGGGAGGGGAAAGAGAATCCATCGCCAAGACCCCAAACCAGCTGCACTAAACCAGCTGCACATCCTGGATTTTGGAGGGTTTTTTTTTTTTGGTAAGGTTAAGAATTTCCAAGTCAGTAGATATTGCTCAAAGAAATTTTCGTGAGCCTTGAGACTTCAACATGACCCCAGCTGCGTTTACAGGGCTGGGAATAATACTTCTTTAGAGCCCAGAGCAGAGGCAGGGGCAGTCTCTTGGGCTGCATGGAGCTGCAGCAGGTGGGCCCATGGAGGACAGGGGTCAGAAGGAAGCCCGCACTGGTTTCTAAAGCAATATGCAGCAGGACCCAGGCCCTGATGATGCCCAAAGTCCTGGCAGAGGGACAGACAGCTGAGCCCAGTGGAGCCTCAAGAGAGCTCTCACCAGGGATTCAGGGAGACCCCTGGCCCTGCCCCGAGACCCCAAGCTCACCTCTGGCACAGTACTGAACACGAGGGTGCGTGGTCCTCATCTCTTGGCTGGTAATGTTCTGCAAGGCAAGGCTGCCTCCATTTCTTCATGCTAGAGTGGGGGTCTAGCATAATGTCTGGCCCAAAAGAAAAAGTCAGGAGATTCTATATGAATTAATGAATCATAGGTATGGAGACAAGTTCAAAAAAAAAGGATCTGTGACAATGAAATCAAGATACATTTGAGGGCACAATAAGTAACGAACCCCAGTCTTTCAGGAGGGAAGTGTGAAAGGAATAAGGAACTGAAGCGAGACAATAAAAAAATTTTGATTTCATGCAAATTTAGGCTTTCTACTCTAACTAATAAAGAGCCATGTAAAGATTTTTCAATATAACAAACACTTGGTCCAACTTTCATTTCATGCTCAGGCAATTGGATTTTATGTTATAGACATGAAATGTTAAGGATTTTAAACTGAGGATATCGTGATTAAATGGGGGTGCCATGCTAAGATTTGGAGACATTTTGTTAGTGATGGTTAAAAAGATTTTAAGCGGGGGCTGGGGGCGGCCTCATGAATAGATACGGGTTTGGAGGGAAGTCATCTGGA